CGGAACCACTTCTGACCTTCTGACACCAACAACCCATTTCCTGAAGAACATGTGCACGAGTGAGGAAAGCAGCAAAACAAACAACTCTGCACTTTAACAAAATGCTGTAGAAGGGAGAAAAATGAGCCTTACCAATCCAACCCTCCACAAAACGGTAGGCAAAATCATCTTTTGGCTCTGTTAGGAAACATAACAAATAAAAACGGCATTAGGGACCTTTAACTTTACTACACATTTATAAATGTGCATCAACACAACAACTACGCAAAACATTTCTCACACCTGATGATGTCAGGATAGTTTTTGCATAATCTGGATGCTGAATATTGATGACACTGACAAAGGGGCCAAACCAGATTGGAAAAACATATGAGTACTCCTGTCCCCATTTCACTACCTTGTCCATATCGGTCCCATCTTGTTTAAACTGAAAGAGAAAAAGTACAACTGAAACACATCACAGCAGGCAGACTTTACACGTTGTCAACTGTGTGTCTCTGTTTGCAGAATGGTGTTCTCCAACATGTTGTGGTCAGCTTTACTGGACGGTTACAGATGTTACAGCTGCTGCGACTGTGTTGATACAGTTACCTCGAGAACATGTCCAAACAGCCAGTGTGGCGGCGGCCCCGAAAAAGCTTGGAAGTTTCGCAGTGCTTCCCTTCTTTTCGCAAGTAGAATTGTTAATTTATACACGACGACAAAAAGACAGAGAACAGCAAAGACGTGATGCATGTGAGGCCAGCCCAGCTGAAACTCCGCGAAAGTTTTAGTTAGTTTCATCTCGCAGGTACAAGTGTCTTCCGCTTCCTCCTGCAGGAAAACCTCCCCAACAAAGCGCAAAAGGTGATATGAGCTCACCTTTCTGATAAGAGCTGGAGGAAAAGCGAGGTTTTCAGCGGTGTCTCCGGTAGGCGGGGAATCCGACACCCGATAAAACGATGAGTTCATGTACTGACTGAAATGTCGGCGTTTTGACCGCAGGAGTGCAACAGCAACATCCTTTCGGCGGAAAATGAGAACTGGGATGATGAAGATGCTAATATGGGAAATTTAGAGTATGCAATTAAAAATAGATTATGAAGAAGTGCGGTTAAAAAATATTTATAAATTCTATCAAAAATTACTTTGTTTGTTTATCGAAAGAATTTCTGCTCATGTAAAGTGAACATCACACGCAAAAATGTAGGTTTTCCTTTTGGCTATTCTGTTTGCCTGTCACATACTTGTTTCTTCATGTAGTTACTAAATACTTTGAGGTTATTTTAAGAATTATGAACACAATAAAATTCCATTTAATTGACTTTATGATTAAAAAACCTAACAAGCAAGGAAACCCTTGACAACGCCTCTAACTTTACATTGTTACATTGTATGTATGTAATTTTTTGTAATCTGAATCAATAATCCAGAGTACATATCATACTTAATTCCCAAAGTGTAATTGTGTCAGTTGTTGTCCTTGGCAGTCAATAAGTTCGTTATAAGTGCTTTGTTTGCACATGAAGTCCAAACTCTAGTGAGTTTAATCGTACAATAAACTGTACAAACAGCTCAATCACAGTTTTGGTTCAACCCCCACAAACATTATCTCAGCATAAAATACAATGTGAGAACATATTTGGCATCTATATAATAAAAAAGAAACTGGTTTGCGATGCACATTTTGTGTCTTAACACCCATACTAAATGTAAGAAGTAAATCATATGCCAGACCACATCAGAAAAACAGTGTGGGTGACAACCTTGCTAAATTTCCTCTGTACTGGCTGTTCGACCACTTCCGATGTGTCAGGCTCATTTAAGCTGTTAAGCTCAATCTAAAACCTTTTGCTGAGAGGCAGAGTTTGTGATCTGTGTTTTTTATGAGCAGTAATGGTACAGCCAGGATGCTTCATGTTGGGTTTTATTTCTGCGGGGACAGGAATTTCTCCCATATGAAACAGAAAGGCTTCATTTTCATCTTTTTACTTGTTTGGAACTTCTCTACTTTCTCAGGAAACAGTGAGTATCTGATCAA